CGCTCTGAGACTCCGAATGAAGGGCGGGGTATAAATCCAATCTCCTCCTCCTCTTCTTCTTCTTCCTCCTCCTCCTCTTCTTCGCATTGCAGCCTTCCCCCACAACCTAAATTAGTTAAAACTTTAAAATTTGCTAATAATTCAGGGCTCTTTTTGTAGCAGGAACTCCCTTGCATATTAGGCCACACACCCCTAATGTAGCCAATCCTCCAAGAGCTTACAGAGCAATTCTTACAGGGGCTACTGTAAGCTCTTGGAGGATTGGCTATATTAAGGGCGTGTCACCTAATATGCAAAGGAGCTCCTTCTACAAAACCTGCGGTATATTCCCAGACGACTGATTACTGGGAGGGACTTTCAAGAGTCAAAGCTACCTTCATTGGACACTTGTGAGCTTTGGCTCCTGAAAGCTCCCACCCCAAAACCTGTGTGGGTCCCCGAGGTGCTCCTGGGCTCGTCTCCAGCCGTCCTACCGCAGACCGACGTGGCTGCCCTCTGGAATTATCTCCCGGAGGTGGCGTAACCCAGAGAAAGGAGTGTTTGTGAGGCCGTATCAGGAGAATACGAGCTGCGGTGGCTCAAGTGGTTAAGACGCTGAACTGCAGGCTGCGGAAGGTCGGTAGTTCAGCAGTTTGAGACCCGAGTGTGCCGCATGACGGAGTGAGCTCCCGTCTCTGGTCCCAGCTCCTGCCAACCTAGCAGTTCGAAAGCAAGAAATTGCAAGTAGATAAATAGGTACCGCTTCGGTGGGAAGGGAACAGCGTTCCGTGCGCCTCGGTGTTTAGTCATGCCGGCCACATGACCACGGAAACGTCTTTGGACAGCGCTGGCTCTTCGGCTTGGAAACGGAGATGAGCACCGCAACCCTAGAGTCGGATTCGACTGGCTTTCGAGCAAGGGAAGCTTTTTACCTTTACCTTTTTTATCGGGAGAATGGAAGTGTGGTGGTGGACGAAAGCACAGCCTTCTGGGGCAGGGGTGTGAAACATACGGCCCGTGGGCCGGAACCGGCCGCTGTGTCAGGTTCCCAGTCAACTCACTCTCCGCACAGGCTTTCTTGAACGAAAGTTTATTATAGAGATTTGAGAGGCTGCAAAGGTGAACTCTTTGTCAGGACCGAGGAGCGAAAGTGGGAGCTCAGTGTAGAACTAAAACCCACATTCCATCCATACGCCACACAGTCATACGCGATCCTAAGAGCCCAGACAGTTACAATGGTTCAACTAGCCATTCAAAAGTCTTATCTTCTTCGAGGACACTCTCAAGCGAAAGCGTTGCCTCCCTAAACTGCAGACATTCACGCTGTACAGCCTCCCTAAACGACAGACTCCCTCCCCTCCCACCAGGAAGGTCAGTGAGGTTGAGCGATAAACGGGCAGCTGGATACATCTGCTTTAGCGAGGGAAGGGAGGGGGATGGGAACGGGGGTGTGGGGTACATGAAACAGGTGACTGATACCGTAGGTATAGAGAACAAGGCAAAGGGCGAAGCCGAGTCTGACACCCTGCAGGGCCGGTATCTGACCCGCGAGCAACTGCCTCTCTCCTGCTTCCTTCTCCGGGGCTGCTGGTGCATCACAGTTTGCTTTCCCCCCCTGCCGCCTATCAGTCCCCAAACCCCATCCCCCCCAGGCCCCACCCCTGCTAGCTCACACTCACTCAGCTTAGAGGGAACAGTGCTGGATACATCTGCTTTAGCAAGGGAAATGAGGGGGATGGGAACGGGGGTGTGGGGTGCATGAAACAGGTGGCTGATACCATAGATATAGAGAACAAGGCAAAGGGCGAAGCCAAGTGACACCCTGCAGGCCCGGTATCTGACCCGTGAGCAACTGCCTCTCTCCTGCTTCCTTCTCCGGGGCTGCTGGTGCATCACACTTTGCTTTCCCCCCCCCTGCCGCCTATCAGTCCCCAAACCCCAAACTCCCCAGGCCCCACCCCTGCTTTCTCCAGGAATTTCCCAACCTGCAGCTGGCAACCCTCCTGTCTCCTCCTGTCTAAGGTTGCCACACATGGCCTGGCCCCAACAAAGTGACATTTTTATCAGATCCGGCCCTTGTAACAAACAGGTTCAACACCTCCGTTCTAGGGCAAGGGTCCCCCAACCTTTTGGAGCCTGCGGGCAGCTTTGGAATCCTGATACAGTGTGGCAGGCGCAGCCACGGAATGGCCACCACAGCTTACTTTCACTCATAGTGAAGATCCTTGTGCTTGTTTGAAGTTCCAGGTGCGAGGTCCCCACCTCAGCCTCCAGACTGTGTGGCAAGAGAGGCTAGATAGCTGGATAGGCACACTGGCCTTTCTTCCTGTATTTACTCTTCTGCCACTGTCCCCTTTGAAATGTAGATTGTGTTCCCAGGGACAATTGCCTTCCTTCCCTTTGGTGTCGTGGTTAAGTGCACGGACTCTAATCTGGGAGAACCAGGTTTGATTCCCCACTCTTCCTCCACTTACAGCTGCTGGATGACCTTGGGCAAGCCATAGGTCTGGCACAGCTGTTCTTGAAAAAGAGCCGTTTCTGTCAAGAGCTCTCTCAGCCCCACCTACCTTACAGGGCATCTGTTGTGGGGAGGGGAAGGGGAAGGGAAAGGAGATTGTAAACCACTCTGAGACTCCTTTGGGTAGTGAAGGGCGGGGTATAAATCCAATTTCTTCTTCTTCTTCTTCTTCTTCTTCTTCTTCTCTCACTTGAAGATGAACTCCCTCCCTGCACACACAAAGAGAGATGGTATGTTGTCCTCTCTTGGCACCATGAGGCAGATGGCCCTCTCACCATCTGCTTCCATCCTTTAGCTAGTAAGTTAGTACTCTATCCTGTCTCTGCTCTTTCCTATCCAAAGTGTACTTCTCAAATAAAGACAGGAGTATTTCTCTTCTAAACTTGCGACGTGGCTCTGTGTAGCTCTGTAAGCCGAGTGACCTGGCAAAGTAACGCTGTTCCTTTTGTAGCTTTATTTAAGCACTCTGCTAACTAAGGGGAACTGGACTAACCACACCTGCTAACCCCAATAGGTTATGGGCCCAGCACGCTCCCGCTGCCGTGGTGGCGGTGGCTGTAAAAGGAATGACTTTTAAAAAATCTGCACAGCCAATCAAATCTCCAATGGCGAAAGTTCCACCTGGTGCCCATTTACTTTTTGAAAATAATTGGCGGGTACCAGGAAAGGTCTCCATTGGGTACCATTGTTCCCATGGGCACCATGTTGGTTTTTTAAAATAATTTTTATTCAATTTTCAAATAGTAACCATCATTACAGCTTATAGTAAACAACAAACAATGAAAACAACATCGATCACGAGCAATTATTGGCAATAATAGGAAAAAAGGGTGTTTATGTTAGAGCTGTTTAAAAACCTAAAGGCAACATATAGTGACAACAGCCTAGATTAACGTTGTAGTAATAAAGTCTTCCAAGGTGAATATAGGACTATACAAAATGTTACAAAGGATTGACTATTTCATAAAAACGTTGAGGGATTTGGGATTGTGCTGTTGAGTTGGGTAAAAAAAGATGCTTCCAAAAATGGAAGCCACTCATGCATTATACTAATATGATGCCCAGTATTACAAGTGGTTAAGATGCTGAACTGCAGGCTGTGGAATTTCGGTAGTTCAGCAGTTCGAGACCCGGGTGCCGCATGACGGAGTGAGCTCCTGTTTCTAGTTCCAGCTCCTGCCAACCTAGCAGTTCGAAAGCAAGAAATTGCAAGTAGATAAATAGGTACCACTCCAGTGGGAAGGTAACAGCGTTCCGTGCACCTTGGTGTTTAGTCATGCCGGCTACATGACCACGGAAACGTCTTTGGACAGTGCTGGCTCTTCGGCTTTGAAACGGAGATGAGCACCGCAACCCTAGAGTCAGATTCGACTGGCTTTCAAACAAGGGAACCTTTACCTTTACCTTTATTACTAGTCAGCCCTGCACGATCTGCAATTTTGTCCATCGCGTCTAATTCCCAGACTTTAGCATACCATGAAGGGTTTCCAAGGCAAGAGATGAACATAGATGTCAGATCCCTGCAACAATCAGAACCAACAACTTGCTTCTTCAGAAGGAAAGTTTATTGATCAGTATTGGCAGGGCATCTCTACTTCAGGAACTGTGTTAAGACTAAAGCATAAAGCGCGGGGTGCAGAGATATACAGTGTTCAGAGGGGGGGTCACAGGGTGGTTAAGAACCAATGAGGGGAGAAGAGGGTCCCGCTAGAACGTAACAGTCCCACTTTCCCAGAGAAGGTAGTACCATGGAAGCATTCAAGGCCAAGCACATGAAACATACAGATAAGAGAGCGAGCATCACCCAGGCAACCAGGGAACCGGAAGTACATTCCAAGGAGGGAGACGTCTCCCCCCTCACCACCAGCCTTTATGGCAGCGAGCTGACACATAGGTGGTCTGCTGTTGCCTGTGTCTGTGTAGTGATCCTGGACGTCCGTGGTGGTCTCCCATCCGAGTACCAACCGGGGCCAAGCCTGCTTAGCTTCTGAGACCGGATGAGATCAGGGTAGCCCCCCCCCCCCCCAAGAAACATATTTATGCCAAACATAATCGTGCCAGGCTGCACCTGAGAGGGAATGCCACGCTCTCCTAGCCTTGTTGCCCTGTTCCCACCCTGGATTTGTGAGAAGGGGCACCAGAGAGAGAAGGCCAGCTCCCTTACCTGTGTCTTGAACGCGGTCCAGAGCAGACCTTTGGCTCTTCCTCTGACTCTCTTCCCCTCCCTCTGTCCCGAAGCCATCTGAACTGGCACTTCGGTTATTCCTCTGAGCGTCTTTAATCTCGTGCCTTCTCCTCTTCCTCCTCCTGGCAGCACAACAGGAAGATCATCACGTCCATGTGCTGCTCCGTTGAGTATATCTTAGTAACATCAGAACATCAGAGAAGCCAATGTTGGATCAGGCCAATGGCCCATCCAGTCCAACACTCTTGAGTCACACAGTGGCCAGAAATACCAGGTGCCCTCAGGAGGTCCCCCAGCGGGGTCAGAACCCCAGAAGCCCTCCCACTCTTGCCCCCCCCCAAGCACCAAGAAGACAGAGCACCCCTTGCCCCAGACCGAGAGTTCCTGCCTATCCCTGGTGGCTAAGAGCCACTGATGGACCTCTGCCCCATACGTGTATCCAATTCCTTCTTATAAGAACATCAGAGAAGCCACTGTTGGATCAGGCCAATGGCCCATCCAGTCCAACACTCTGTGTCACTCAGTGGCCAAAAATACCAGGTGCCCTGAGGAGGTCCAGCAGTGGGGCCAGGACACCAGAAGCCCTCCCACTGTTGCCCCCCCAAGCACCAAGAATACAGAGCACCCCTTGCCCCAGACTTAAGAACATCAGAGAAGCCAATGTTGGATCAGGCCAGTGGCCCATCCAGTCCAACACTCTGTGTCACGCAGTGGCCAAAAATACCAGGTGCCCTCAGGAGGTCCAGCAGTGGGGCCAGGACACTAGAAGCCCTCCCACTGTTGTATTGTGAGAAAGGGTGAAAGGAACATCTTTCTCGACCTGCTCTGTCCCACTATAAACCTCGATCGTATCACCCCTCAGCCGTCGTTTCTCCAAGCGGAAGAGCCCGAAGCGCTTCAACCTTTCTTCATAGGGAAAGTGTTCCAACCCTTTTATCATTCTAGTTGCCCTTTCCTGCACTTTTCCCAATGCTATAATGTCCTTTTTGAGGAGTGTAATCTTGTGCCTTCTCCTCCTCCTCCTCCTCCCGGCAGCACACCATGAAGGTTATCACGTCCGAGAAGCCCCCCTTCCGATACCAAACCAACAGCCTCTACACGCCCATCACCACCCTGAAGCACGCCGACCCCAGCGGCATCCTGCCCCTCAACGCCTTTCACCAGATGGTCTTCCAGCACGACCGGCTCTTCAAAGCCAGCCTCAGCCTTCTGAAGATGCTCCAGTGGAAGAAACGGCGGGACCTGGACCACGGCCGGGGCCGGGGACCCTGAGAAGAAGACGAGGAGGCCGGGCCCGGCTCAAGACCCTCGCAGTCCCTCGCTTAAGTTAGGACTCTTCCCAGTTTTATGACTCCCTAGAGAGTTTTGTGTTGAGTTCTGCCCCCTCCCCTCGGGCTCTGTATCAGGGCTGCCACTTTTGGGAAAGTGCAAACCAAGGAGAGAGATTGTGGGATGGAAACTGAAAGGGAGCAAAACAACCGTGATATATTATGCCAAAAAAAAACAAATTCTTCATAGACTTGTAAGTTCTTTTGAGTATCCAGTTTACTTGGAGCAATTCAAACGGCATCAACACCACAACGGACCACGCATGTCACGTCTCGTTTCGTGTACAAACTTTATCAGAGTGGGTAGTGTTGGAATTCCTGTGTAATTTTAATCCATTTGGCAAACACTATAGTCATTTCTCATAGTAACATTCATTTTTTTGTTTTACAATTTAATAAGTTTTTTATTGGGTGATAAGTCAAGAATACATAAGAGTTAACCTGTATGAACCACAAAGACAATGTATATCAGTGACATTACAGATATTCATATTTTTAACTTACAGGATGCGTTCAGACGGGGAATTTACAACAGTATAGGTGCCGGTTCCAACTGGTGTACTTACCGGCGTTCAGATGGCGAACATCTGCCTCCCATCCCTAACCATTGTAAATCCCTTTAAACCGTTGCACTCTGCCACTAGGTCCCCAAGTGGTGGTATACTGAGTGCAACGGTTTTTCTTTTAACAACCAGGCTTACAGGATTGTGATCTGAAAAGTCTTTGGTAAAATCTCTACTTTAACAGCCTTAGTACTTAAATCTCTAGAGAGCCAAACCATATCTATTCTTGAAAAAGATCTATGTCTATCTGAGAAATAAGTATATTTTTTTTACAATTTAATAAGTTTTTTATTAAGTAATTAGTCAAGAATACATAAGAGTTAACATGTATGAACCAAAAAAAAATGTTTATCAGTGACATTACAGATATTTATATTTTCAACTTACAGTGTGTCCAATCCATAAAGTTTTTAATTACCCTATGAGTGATACATAAGTGTTACAAAGTACTTTAACACTAGTTTGAAATGCTGTTCAATAGAGTGCTCAGACCTCAGAAATAACTATCAACTTATAAGTGCATCCATTCAGTGTATCCCTGATTTGCTGGCAGAATATTAGTTTCTGTAAAGTATATTATCAGAGCATACCATTTTCGTACAAACCTAGATTGTGACCCTTTATGCCTATGTGTGTGTGTTTCACTTGTGTCCGCTATTTTGTCCATCACATAGTGATCCCAACATTTGTTCCGCCACTGGTCCAGGGATGGAGATGCCTTGGATTTCCAAGAGGCTGCAATGATGAGCTGCACCGTGGCGATCAAAGTGGCAGCTAGTTCAGAAATATGAGCTTCTCTGTCATGTGTTGAGTTCAAAAGTAGTATGGCCAGATCCAGTGGGATCTGCTCTGACGTTATTTTATTTATTTCTTCCTGAACTTTAATCCAGAAGCCTCTGAGCACTAAGCAGGACCACCAGCAGTGATAGAAGTCATAGTAACCTTCATCGAATCCTCTAGTGTAATGCATAGTAACATTCATCAAATCCTCTAGTGTAATGCATTACTCTAGAGGATTTGATGAATGTTACTATGAGACGCGATATGTGTGGTCTGTTGTAGTGTTGATCAATGTTCCCTCTAAGCTGTGGAGTTTTGTGAGCAAAAATTCTACTTTGTGAGCTACTGGCATTCAAGTTGTGAGCGAGCCATTTGGCTGCTGCAAACTTAGTTTGCTCTGGAGCCCTCTTTCCTGAGCTAAGACAAAAATGTGTGAGCCAGAGGCTAAAAAACGGTGAGCTAGCTCACACTAACTCAGCTTAGAGGGAACACTGGTGTTGATGCGTTTGAATTGCTCCAAGTAAATTGGATATTGGAAAAGAACTTACAAGTCTATGAAGAATTTTTTGGCATAATATATCAGGGTTTGTTTTGCTCCCTTTCAACTTTCGGGAAAGTCACGGAAATGGAAATTGGTCAGGCAGAGCCAGAGAAATGGGTCCAATGTTAGGGAAAAGGTGATCAAGACATAGTTTTGAAATGCCGCTGCAAGAGGACAGTCTGAACTTGTGGCAGTTGAAGTAGTGAAGCAGCAGAATACAGGTGTAATGTGACGATGCGCACACATCCCATAATCTGATTGCATGATTTTGAAAATGTTTACGGCTGTCGGTGGTTAACAATAAAACAGAATAAAATGAACTTGTGAGAGAGGGCGTTATTTTATGGAGAAGCTGATTGGCTTTTTGAAACTTGGTTTGTATTCAAACAAACCTGGAATTGCTTTCAGTTGATTTGAAGATGGGTATATTTGCTCCTGCCAACCCAGCAGTTCGAAAGCAAGAAATTGCAAGTAGATAAATAGGTACCACTTCAGTGGGAAGGTACCAGCGTTCCTTGCGCCTTGGTGTTTACTCATGCCGGCCACATGACCATGAAACGTCTTCGGACAGCACTGGCTCTTCGGCTTGGAAACGGAAATGCGCACCGCATCCCTAGAGTTGGATTCGATTGGCTTTCGAGCAAGGGAAACCTTTACCTAACTTTACCTATATTTGGACAGGTTAGCAAATTGTGCTTTATTTCTTTCTGGCCAGCTGTGAAGGCGAGCAGGTCACAGTACTACTCTCTACACCAAGGGGGAAATGGATACCACCACCGATTTGAGGGAAGGCAGTTGTTGTTGTTGTTGTTGTTCAGTCGCACAGTCGAGTCTGACTCTTCGCAAACCCGTGGACCACATCACGCCAGGCCCTCCTGTCTTCCGTCATGCTCCAGAGTTTGCTCAACTTCATGTTCGTTGCATCGGTGACACTGTCTGACCATCTCATCCTTTGCCGTCCCCTTCTTCTTTGACCTTAAATCCTTCCCAGCATCAGGGTCTTCTCCAGTGAGTGCTCCCTTCTCATTGGGTGGCCAAAGTATTTGAGCTTCAGCGTCAGTATCTGGCTGTCAGGACCCACAGCTAAACAACGAAGTACACGCTTTTGGGAAGGTTTTACTTTTATTGAAAAGCCATAGATGCGATAACAGGAACACCGTTAGGAATGGCG